CAGCATCGGATCGATTCCCAATGATCAAAGGTATTTAACTTGGTCTTCAACAATCGACAGAAGAGGGGAAATGACAGTGACCAAGGGACTAGAAGAGAATCCGTGGCCTTCCTAGCTCAAGAATTTCCACACTCTAGGCAGCAGTTGAAAGATTAAACTCTTTCCAAACCCCTTTGGTAACTTCCCGAAAACATCTCTCCTTCCCACAATGTTCTCATTAAAAAGTTTTTGTTCAGATTTTAATTAGCTAACCAGAAACACAGCTAAGCTTTCTCTTAGCGCTTGCTGGAGGTCATCCACGAACTTAACATTCTCTGCAACCTTGGCCGTATTGTAAACGACTTTATTACAAAGCAAAGATTAGATTTTGGCGCACACAGAAAGCAGAAAGCTACGTAGGCTTGTGTGCAATCTAATGGATTTCTCTTACGTTGTGTGCTGAGACTGAAACTTTTCACCTCAAACAAATCTCTGTCGCATGGTCCAAACAAACATAGCAAGCAACTGAGCTACTAGTATATGACCGTGTTAAAACACATAAAAGGACTCTAAAGCACACTTCACTCTGATTGGGCAGAAAAACACAAAGATTTTCTGGCACCAATCAGATGGCAGAATGACTGCGACCGTTTGGAACTAGTCTTGTAATACAATGTCCCAAGGGGCTCTTCATGCCCAAACTTGAAATCGACCCACAGCCCCTGGGTCTCCGAGGATGCTACCTCATTGGACAGCCCCAATAATACTGAAAAAAAAAACCAAAGGTCAACACTTTGTAAATTTAAAGAAATTTGGCTAACCTTTGCAAACATCTAGAATGTCATCATTTATGACTGCCATGAAAGTCCCTCTAGAAGATAAAAAGTCTTTTCTGCATTTGCAGAGATACTAAAATGTAGGAAACTTGTCATTCATAAATTCTCTTGTGCTTTCTGAATTTGGAGGACAGGCAGTCTGCAGCTGCAGTTTGCATGCATCTGAAAAAAATTGAAAGAAAATCAACGTGAAGAATTCATCGAATAAAAGAGTAAAAAAATTAAATAAATGAAAGGCCACTCAACATACAGGTATGACTAAATGTATGAAAGGTTTGACTAGCAAACAGAAAAACAAGAACACAGTTCAAACATGTAATACCAATGAAAATGTCAGATCACAACAATTTTGCACCTTGTAGGTCTATCTAGATTATGATATCAAAACTTTAAAATCTATTCCTAACAGACAATTCATAAATAAAGGATGTGTAACCTTGCATATGGGGTGAGAGTAGAACTTACAGGTATATTTGGGAGGAGAGGAGAAAGGAGCCAATATCACAGCTTTAAAAAAGTAGATGTACTGTTGCATAAAATTGTCATAACAATTAAAGAGAGGATACCTCACTTTGTTGACGAAGATCAGCGTAATTAAAAGTCATCACAGCCCCACCAGAATCTATAAATGTAACATCAATAATTATCAAATGCAGGCAATCTCCATATATCTAGGTTTTAAAAAGTTCATTTTGCCAGATGGCAAAAAAGTTAGCCTACATTGATCATTTTAAAAAGAAAACTTACCTGGCTGTATGTCATATGTAAGCCAATCCTGTACCACTGTAACCTTTCCCAATGAATAATCAGATGAGAATGGGGCTAAGACAGTATCATTAATCTGTAGAGCTCCAACACGTACAGGATAGTTTGGGTATATGTGCCCTGGCTTGTCAAAAGTTTCCAAAGCAGTACCAGATGTTAAAGAGATGTTCATGTACATGAGGATTTTGAAATTCTCCACAGCTACCCACTCAGAAGGTCGCCAACTTGAGGACTGGTCGTAAAATAACATACCATCTTCCCCAAGGCTGTGTGGAATTCCTACAAAATTTGACAAGTTTCTATCAGATTAGCAGTCACATCGTATAAGATCAGTCATTGATAAAAAGAGAATATAGAGTGGTTTGCGTGATTATAGAAATGAGTTTATGTGTTTCCTGCTTAGTTGCAATTTCATTCTGAGCTTTATTTTAATGGCTTGTGTAGCTGTTGATAAATCTTGTGAAAAAAATAACTTAGCTCTGAAAGCCTGAAAGCAAATCCATGAGCTACTACAAAGTTTGCATAAGGGCACTTGTATGACTGCTATAGTCTCATCACTGTACCTATTGAAGGCAACCAGGACCCATGTTTCGACAACTTCAGCCTTCAGGTCACCCTCAGAGTCAGGTAAAGAGTTTTTATTAGTTGATAGTTAAAAGTCTGTAATTATTGATAGTATTGTTATTGGCTGTAACTCAATCTGTAAGACTTAGTCAGTTTCGACCTGCTGACAGTGAACTTAGGTTGTGCTTGTAAGTTCCTTTGTTAAGTCATTGTCATGTCTTAGACATTTGTATGCAACTGTTAGTTGTTCACATCTTTTGAAAGGAATATGTTCTAGATTATTAAATGTCTTTCCGAAAGTCAGTCATTATAAAAAAGTTTCCATTATTTAACAGTTACTGAGATAACAGATGTGACCTCTTCAACAATCTGAATTACTGTCAAATTTGGATTATTATTGTAGTAATAATTATGTCAATTAACATTTTTTAACCTTTAGTAATGATAGAACTCCACAATTAGGGCAAAATGGAATACTTTACAAAAAAACTGTATACCAGATGTAGTACGTACTTGAATAAATTTCAACCTCACAGAAAGACAATTCCCACTGAGTCTTGGGAATAGAGACAAAGAAATATCTACCAAAGTGCCATTGGTTACAGCGGACTGTAACTCGTGTCCTAGACAGTTAGGTCAAATTTTGGTGGCAAACTTGTAGTGCATCAATAGGATCATCCTCATGAAAGCCTGTGAGAGTAGAGAGATTTGCAAACAACATGGCTTTACAATGGTTAAAAATAATTCAGTTTGCATGCCAGATGCTGGCTTAATTTACCACGACTTATCTCCATATTGCAGGAAGCAAACAGGAATATATAATCTACTTTCACAGATTTTCCTAACAGTCCATCAGTTCCCTTTACATTCCGAGCCTAAATATAAGAGAGGTACTTTTGGAATTAACCATTGTGTCACTACCCCTCTTATTCCATCAGAGTAGTTTTACAGAGCAAAAGTTGGGCAAACTCAAGAAAAAGGAAATCCATAACTACATATAGAATGTTAATGTGTCAAAAGGAAGCAGTCAAACAAAAATGAGATTACTGGTAAAACAAATATCAATAAAAGATTGGGTGAGGTTTCGTGACCATGTGTACCCTGATCATTGATGCAACTAGTTGTGAAACAAAAATTCCAGCAATATTGCAGGTATCAGTAGGTTACAACATTTACAGTCACTGACTACCACTAACTGCAAAATGTTTAAGCAAGGTTGGAGACAGTCTACCACAGCTATGGGAGATCTTACGCCTGAGATACATACAAAGTCTATTGAGATTCTCTCTCATTTGTTGTGCTAGTTACTTTGCGGAACATATAACGATTGTCCTCTAGTTCAAAAATCACTGAGCCATGGAGTGGACATAAATTTCTGTTTGGCATTAACTCCTACTTTCTCTAGCTGACCCACCCTACAAAGCTCTTCTTGTTATCATTGCTCATCTCAAATTGCTCTTACCAGAACTGGTCAAAATCACCCAGTGGCATAGGAACGATTATAACTAAAGTGAAGCTTTCAATATATCAAAAAAGTTGAAATGGTAAATTGGCCACCGTTACGATTATAAAAGCTGACGTTTCATGCGTTAGCCCTTCGTAGGAGCGAATAGAGGAATTGTGGGTTGTGTGTGCTTTTAAAGTGAAGCTTGTTGAACAAATGCAGACTGATTGCCAAGTTTCTTTTCAATAAAAGCAGAAATGTTCAAATTGCCACACCTCAGAGTGTAATCTTTTCTTTTCCATATGCATACTGACTGTATACACTAAGTCTTAGGATATTGTGGAAGTGATAATAGTGAGTTGGTACTGGTTGCAGTAAATGTGCAAGACTATTCCAACGAAATAAAGTTATGATCCAAATGTTTGCACCTTAAAAATTCTTGTGCTTGAGTCTTCGATCAGTGAACTTTAAAACCCACTGATTGTTAAATCAACATACTGTAGCTTATCTTTGCAACAAGTCTTGTTTGTGTTGGTGATAACTGCAGCTTCAATTTGATAAATTGATCCCAGGTCCACCCTCCACCATGGGTTACCTTCCAATTGAGTTTTAACACATGTCTTCCATTGAACAATACTTGACTGTTCTGATAACTGGTCTTTTGCAATGTTAGGATAGTAAATTGGAAGGCTGAAAACAAAACAAATGACACAATTACATTGCCAGGCCTGTACAAAAGATTAATTAACTGTCTAGAACATTTAAATGAAAAAAGTTGGCAGAAGCTTAAAATAACGATAATACTCAGCTGCAAGCTATGTTTTCCCACCATAGCTATTGTCCAGGCCCCTGTTGTTCGAAGGGGATAACACTATTCACTGAATAAATCTATATCTGGTGGATAGCGCAATATGTTTTACCATCACTTATTCACTGAATGGTGACTTATCCGTTGGATAGTGTTATCCGCCGTTTATACAACTGGGCTCAGGATTGCATAAAAGAAAATCATCTTGTTTTCAGTGGGGTCTTACTGTTCTAAAATCTGGCTTAAGGTTACCATGCACCTTCAGGTGTGTCTTCCGTGCAGGCGATGCAGCGGGTCCGGTTTAAACTGTACATATCTTAACCCCTATATCAAATTAAAGCTGATAGGACTGGCTATCAGACTATACCAAAAATTTTGAAAAAAAAATTAATTGTCAAATTTTTCACAACTACTAAATGCAAGCGCCCGAATCACCTTTTAAGAGCTACAAGTCAAAGGGAAGTTGTTCGATTGCTCTCCAATTTTGACAGTAGCTAGTTCTACATATAAACAACAAAAACGTGTCTCCGAATATTTTTATTTCTAAATACTTTTTTTCAAGAGCGATTTTTGCACGATCACTCCTGTTTCAAAAATGTTCTGTAACTTTTCACTGAAATTGAATATGACAAATTGCAGACACATTTTTTTAGCGCTTTGGCCCCGGAAACGGAGGAACACATTAAATAAGCGAAAAGCAAAATTCGCTTTGACATATGTAACGCTCAAAAAGGTGATTCGGGCGCTCGCATTTAGAAGTCGTGAAAAATTCGATAGTTCATTTTTTTTTTCAAAATTTTTGGTATAGATTGATAGCCAGTCCTATAAGCTTTAATTTGATATAGAGGTTTAGATATCTACAGTTTAAACCGGACGCGCTACGTCGCTTGCACGCGAGACACCCCTGAATACACCCCTCAATATAGTATCAGTCTTATTACGTAAAAAGGTGACTGACTGAGTTTTTATTAGTCATTAAGAAGCCATAAAATGGTTAGCAACTACCTTATTTCATATATAAGAGAAGGAAATGTTTCCAGCGAATTTAGTAAAGGAATAAATGACTCATCGTCAACTTCCCAGGAAAATTGGTTAAACACGAGCAGGTTGTGATGTAGTAAAACTGACAAGGACGGCAAGACCTTACGACAAACATGAAGATAACATTTACTCACAAATCGATGTAGGAAGTGCTTTCCATATTGAAGCTGAAAAGACCCACTGAATAAAGCTATTCATAGCTGAGAATATTTCTTAGCACGCTCAACCTATATTATGTGGTTTACAGACGAAAAGCTTACGACAGCCGAACCTCGTCTCCAGGGGTTATCGGTCGGTTTTCAAAATGGCGAACTATTGAGGCGCGTAGCGCCGAGTTGGCCATAATCATTTTATATTCAACAAGCGCGAGGGCTGACGATTGAAAATAATTTTTTCTTATTAAAAATCGAAAAAAGGAATAAAATTATAGTAATATTTTTATTTTTAGCGCAAAAAGTGGGGGCGGGGGCGCAAAAAAGTGGTGGGGCCGCGGCCCCACAAATGCGTGTACAAGAACTTTAGCTGTTGTGACATTGATATATTTACGAATCTTAGCTATATTTCTTAGGTGGTGGAATGCCCCTTTAACTATGTTGTTAATATGAAAAGACATCATGCATTACGGTGTTATCGAAAATGACGCCGATATTATGCGCCTTATTTGTAGGCTCAATGATATTATTTCCTATTTTGATAGAAAGTAGCCGTGGGGGCGGTCTGAACTTAGAATGGAGAATAAGAAGTTCGGTTTTATCAGTATTTAGTTTCAGTTTGTTAGTAGTCATCCAGTTGGTGATATCAACAAGACAGCTTTCAATCCGGGGAATTGTAGTAGTAAGGTCATTCTTATCATCGCAACTGAAGGTGGTGTATAGTTGAGTGTCATCAGCATATAGATGGAAGTCTTTGTTATGGTATCTTATTAGGTCACCTAGGGGGGCCGTGTACAAGAGATTATCGTCCACGCTTGCTTGCTGAACATTTCCCTGTAGTATTACCGTTAAGGAGGACTTAATATTTAAATTTACCATAAGACAAGGCGTCCAATCTAATTTTTGAAAAACATCTTAAATGCTGCCTAGTCGTCACACGACAGTACCCTCGTTTCAGACGTCCTTTTCAAAATCAGAGGCTTTAGTGTCAACTTTTGAATCTCTCATATCTGGTTTACTGTGGCTTAAGTTAATGATCCAGGGCGTAATGATTTAGTTTGGGGGTGTTCACTTCTCTTTCCAAATCAGCTCAGGGAGAACTCTGGGAAAATTAGGTACGATTCTAATTACAATCTATGACGGAGTTAATTGAGATTAT